GTGGAGGCCATTGGAGAACAGCGAACTCACTATGTTCAGGAAACCCGTTTGAGATGATTCGAGCTTCGTCACGTGGCCGTCTTCTGTAAACCCCAGACGTGATGAAAATCCCAGTTGCTCGTCAATTTCTGAATCAGTCAAATCAACCCATTTGGTGTTCAAAGCGTCTTAAAATCACCTTTTTTTTACCCGTTCTGATGCTCGGTTTGAACCTCAGCAGGTCGACTCGAGCACATCTACATCCCTAAATGCACTGAGCTGCTGCTGTGTGATTGGCTGATCAGATATTTGCATTACCAGCTGGTGAGAGTACATTAACTTACACAACTAACAATTTTCCACCAGCACTCCAGTCCTGCTTTATTTGCAGTAACAACCTTTATATTCGTCATAGATCTCCATTTTAACAAACTATTCCTGTTGAGTAGGCGGCACAAGAGTAGTCCAGCCAGTTGAACGTATGAATGTGCAGAGTCCAGTGTAGAAAACCTGCTGATAACCATCATTTTGAAACTTGTCATCTCTGATTGAGAGTTTAGGTTTTGTTAAGCCGGTTAACACAAAGAAAGCCTGACTTTGTTAAACTTGCCCGACTGATTAACCGAGAATCGAACCACTTTCCTCAGCTTATTTGTACTTGAACCACGACACCAGAGCATCTTTTTAACAGTCCAGTTAACACATACTAGTATAATAATGACATTTCAATCTTAGGTACACTTGGTCTTTTTTTTCTGACTGGTTTTCCGAAGAGCATTGATCTTTTCAAGACTTAAATCTTTGATTTTAATTGGCACTACCTAGCCTTATTTGCAGTATAATAAAAATACAGAAAAAAAAGAGAGATTTAAGACTCATAAACACAGTTCACTTTGTTAAAACTTCTTCTCATCTTTCACTTGTCACTAACAAAAGGACCGAAGCAGCTATTTCTGTTGCAGCTCCGCTTCATCCGGTCCTCTCCTTTATCTGCTCGTCTTTTTTTAGCGCCATGTGAACTCTCCTCCACCTGCGCGGGGCCTTTGATTGCGTCAATTATTAATTATTTATTAAAAGCAGCTGTCATCGTTATGCAAATAAACGTGGACCGAACAAACTTTTTTAACCCGAAAACTGACTCGCAGAATTACAAGCGGCTCCTTCCTTCGCCGGCAAAATCCTCTTTGTCTCCGTTAGATTTAAAGCCTCCGAGGTTGTTTTTTTTCCTCCGCTGAGATTTACGGCATCCGGCGGTGCCAATGTCACGTTCAAGGGCACGTCAGCGGGACGCTCGGCGAGTAATCAGCGAGTTCGTATTTCTTCACGGAGCGACTGCTGTGGACACTGATCTGCCTTTTGCACTACAAATTTACAGTTTTAGGGCAAATCTCTCCCCCACAAAAAATACTTAAACAAACACGAACTGCCCTCCTGTCGGCTCTGCAACACCGGGGAAGATGTACGGCAGCGGTTCTTCACTAATCAGAAAAACACTTTCATGTAAATTATTAATGAAGATGCACTCAGCTTAGACTGATTTATGCTTTCCTTCATGTGAAAACGTGACATAATGCAGTTTTCTGTCACGCTGAATTAGAAAACAACCATGTATTTGTGCATATGTGTGGGCTGCCACATGTTCTCGCCTCTAAATATCTAAATTATCTGAATATATGATGCAAAATTCTCTTTAGATCTAAGAAATTCTCACTTTTTTTCTTGCTGCTGATGCTTCAGTCATTATTGTGCAAAACACATTCAAAAAATGTGAAGTCACGGACACCGTTTGTACGTCTGTAACGCTTTTCACAGGATTCAAAGGCTTTTTATGAACGTATGCAGCAATAAGCAAGTTGTCAGCGCAATGAAATTCCTCCACCGAGTGCCCCGATTAACCTTTCATACAGAACAGGTTCGTCTAAACGCTGGCATCTGCTTGTACACATTGAAGTAGACTTATGTTGAATATGCAAGACGAGAGCAGACATGGTGCGTAGAGAAAATCAGTGTAGAGAAAATGTGCAATATTTATGGTGCAGAAGGTCAAGATCTGCTCAGATGCACTGAGGAATCTATACTGGATGTACAAAAAAACGGTGCATTGAGGGTTGCACACGTGGATTTTCTCACAAATCCATGTTTTCCTTCATAATAGAAGTTATTACAACTGCTTTTATCTGCAGCTACGAGCCTTCAATGCTGTTTTTCTCTCTTACAAGTGACGTGAATGTTACAGAGCCACACTATAACACTGGGTGATATCATAAACATACTTTAACCCTCTGATCCTCAAGAGCTGCCAGTTATCTATTTAAAAAAACGACAAAATTACACCATTTGTCAGAGCAAGAAACTGTAAAAACTGAAAGAAAATCATCAGACTTTCAGCTCTCTGGAGTGAATTGTGTGTGACATGTTGTTCTTTGTGGTAATTTAACCAAATCAAAGATTAAAATCGTGGTATTATTCTGCATTCTGCTTCATTTAAAATTCTCATTTTGCTCTAAACAGATTCTGTTAAAAAACTAGAAATTCTGCTCTTTGTGTTGCGATGCTGAAGACACGACTGACTCGCCTGCAACCGACAGTCAGGTGACAAAAAAATCAGGGACTTCTGCGACACGTGATGAATGAAATTTTGCAAAGTGGCCATTGAAAGTGAAATGAAAGCAAAAAAAAGAGAAATTATATAATGACGAGAATTAATGCCACATTGGCAAATGCAAACGATAAACATGAATAGTAAGAGTTAATTATAAAAATATCAGCTTAATTCTAGCCGACAAAACTAAAAGATCAAACACAAAATCACACCAGTGAGTCATTTTCTTTTGACTGAACTCTGCAGTGTTCAACATAAAGGTATCAGACAAGTTACATCTCATTAAAATCAACATTTGTTATTACTATTAGGAAGCACTGCATAAATGTCTGTTGTTATGCAGACGACACCCAGTTATATTTATCTATAAAGCCAAATGGCATGTCCAGGCATGTCTTCAGGACATAAAGACCTGGATGACTTGTAATTTTCTTCTCCTAAATTCAGACAAACTGAAGTTATTGTGTTTGGCCCTCAGCACCTTAGAGACACATTATCTAACCAGTTACTTATTCTCGGTGGCAAAACTAAAAGATCAGACACAAAAACACCTCAGTGAGTCATTTTCTTTTGACTAAAGTCTGCAAAATCTCATTAAAATCAAGATTTGGATCAAATGGAGGTCAACAAGGAGGATAAAATGTCCAAATCTGAGCTTTCACAAGTCTTTGCCTCTGTTGCACTTCAGCTCAGCACAAGAAGTGGATTTAGTTTAAAGACATTTTCAGGCCTCAGATGTCAACTCCTTTTTCAGTTTCAGTGGCAACTTTGCAAAGTCACATAATTTTTTTATAACACAACTTTTCATATACTTATAATAACTTCTCTTAAGTCACAGAAACGTGTTTTAAAACTTCAACAATCATGATTACTAAAGAAAAACAATCACATATTAAGGAGGATTTAGTGACACAATAGCAAAAATAAATAAAGGTCAGTGGTAAATAACTGAAGTTTCAGCTTGATTCTAGCTGATAAAAGTAAAGATCAGGCACAAAAACACTCATTGGTGAATCAGTTTCTTGTTAAAAACATGTTAGATCTTGTCAAGATCAAGATTTTGAGCAGATACAAAAGAAAAAATGTCAACTTTCATAGGTAAAGTCTTTGTCTATGTTCCATTATAGTTCTTTACACGGAGTGAATAAAAACAAACGAAAACACATAGACAAGATAATGAAAACCTTTTCATGAGATAAAGGAGGTCTTTTAAAGCACATTTCTATGAGTATATGTTATAAGTATATAAAAAGCTACATTGAAAATGGACAAAATATTTAAAAAATTACAATTTAAACTAAAATAGAAGCAAAACTACAATTTTTAAATTTAGTGCCACATTGACGAGTGTAAACAAATGAAGGTGAATATTAAGTAATCTAATTAAAATCAAGATTTTTGATAAAGGATGTCGAAAGGGAGAATGACATGTCCGAAATCTTAACTTTTGTAATTAAAATATTTGCCAGTTCTTTACATGTAGCAATTAAAAACAAACAAAAAAACAAAAACAAAAAAACAACATGCATCCATTGACAAGATTGTGATATAAAAAAAAAACATTGAATGAGATAAAGGAGGTTTTTAAAACACATTTCTAAAACTTAAGAGTATATATTATACATATATAAACAGCTATATTGCACAAAAATGATTTTTTTTAAAAATTAGAATTTAGTGGCACATTGACAAATGCAGAAGGTTTCAGCTTCATTCTAGTTGACAAAACTAAAAGTCAAACGCAAAAAAAAAAGATTTTCTTGTTGCATCTCAATAGAATCAAGATTTTTTGATAAAGAAGGTCAAAAAAGAGGATAAAATGTCAGAAATCTCATCCTGTGATTAATTTAAGCTCAGCACATGAAGTGAAATTTTTTAAAAAAAGCAAAAAAAATACATTGACAAGATTTTTAAAAATATTTTAATGAGATAAAGGAGGTCTTTAAAACACATTTATATGATTTAAAAGTAAACAGTACACGTATATTTAAAAAATGACTGAAATAGCAAAACTAAAATGTGAATTTAATGCCACACTGACAGGAGTAAAAAAAAATTGCAGGTGAATATTAAGTAATTACAGAAGTTTCAGCATAATTTTAGAATAGAATAGAATACAATAGAATAGAATAGAATATCCTTTATTAGTCCCACACGGGGAAATTTGCAACGTCACAGCAGCAAAGTGACGCTAAGAAAAGCAAGAAAACACAACGAACTTCTGACTGACAAAACCAAAGATTAGACACCAAAAAAAAAAAAAAAACAAAATCATGTTGCATGTCATTTTGATGAAGGAGGTCAAACAGGAGGATGGATGTCAGAACCCTCAGCCTCTGATCCATCACAGCTCTTTACATGAAGTGATGTACTCGTTGCTGAGTTGCCGTGTGTGTTGCGTTGCCCCCCCCCTCCCCAGGTTGCTGAAGGGCACGGCGTACCACTGGGACCTGATGCTCTCGGGCCTCATCAACATCCTGATGTCGGTGCTGGGGCTGCCGTGGATGCACGCCGCCTTCCCCCACTCCACGCTGCACGTCCGCCAGCTGGCCTTCGTGGAGCAGCGCGTGGAGGGCGGCCACCTCTACGAGACGTGAGTTTCCTCATCAGGCGCCCAATTAAAGGTCGGCTGTAATTTGGGGAGTCGCGGGGAGCTGCTGCGTCCCCGCTCCTCCCTAATTGCATGATTGCCAAGTAACCGAGCGTCTTCTTCTTTTTTTTTAAAAAGACAAGAGGATTAAGTTCACGACTCCGGCCGCTCAGATACGAAGCCAAATTACAGTTTGCGTTTATTTCAGGATTATTAAAGCAGCAGAGGGCGATAAACGGAGCAGAGGGGGCAGATTTATGTAAGAGGAGGAGATCTAATTAGAGATGGCGGCTGTGCAAAAGTGTGCAATTTAGAGCACTTGAAAGTTTGTATGTTTGGAAATTAATAACACTGATCTAAGTCGTCTGACAGCTGACGACGGTGACGTTCATTTATGCTGCAGCTTTTAAGAGCAGAATATCAGAACATATGGCACGATAAAAAGATGAATCCAAAGAGATAAAAGTAAAGAGATTCAAGATGAGCTACAAGCACACAATGAGGAATAGGTTAAAGGTTAAAAAAAGGTTCAAATCTAACACATAATGTGGTTTAAAAGCTGCAGAATCTGGTGCTTTTTGGAGCCAAAGTCAATATTAATGCTCAACAGCAGACTAGTGTAGAAATTAACAAAGTGAATTTAACAAAAAAATATGTTCCTAGAACAGTTTAGAGTAAATGTAGAGAGCTGAGGATGTTATTGTTGACTTGAAGCTGATGCCCTGACTTTTTTTTTTTTCGTCTTTTTTATGTAATTTTTTAAATTAATTGTTATTTTTATTTTGTTTTGTTTTTTTTAAGAAGTTTATTTAAAAATAGTTTTTTCGTTTTTAGTTAAATATATATTTTCAAATTCTTTAGTTCAGTTTCCAGTTAAGTTAAATTATTTTAAAATTACTTAGTTTGGTTTTTAAGTTAAAATAATGTATTTTTTCTAAGTTAAGACATTTTTATTAAGTTAAATTGTATTATGTTTGAATTATTTAGTTTAGTTTTGAGTTAAATTTAAAAACTTTAAAAACTTTTCTTTGGTAAAATTATTTTAAATATATATATATATTTTAAATATTTTGTTCAGTTAAATAAGTTTTTTTTAATTCTTTAGTTTCAAGCTAAGTTAAATTATTTTTCCTAAGTTAAAGGTATTTCTCAAGTTAAACAACACAATTTAAAATGATTTAGTTTAGCTTTAATTTCAGTTAAAATATTTAAAAATGATTTCCTTCAGTTTTAAGTTAAGAAAAATTCTTTTTCTTTGGCTAAATTACTTTTATTATGTGTATTTAAAAATTGTTTAGTTTCAAGTTAAATTAAATAGTTTGTTGTTGTTTACACACACATCAGAGTGAAATTAGGTTACAGTAAACTCAATAGGAAAAAAAAAAAGAGCCGAGACAAAATAGGGAATATATGTGTAGAAATGATAAATAGGTTAAAAAAATAAAAAGAGGTGTGAACGGTAGAAAATACAAATAAAAGAAACTCTGAATAAAACCTTTATAAAATACTATATCTACATATATTGTTTGTCATAATGTTTAATTGCTCAGCAGTGGGGGGTTATTATGAGTCTTCCTGTCTCTTACAGATTAATCATATTTAAAGGATGTTCTGCGTCATATTTTCTTAAATTTTTTTCAAACTGCTGACCTCTAAACTTTCACAAACTGGGTCTAGAAAATTCTCCAAAATGTGCTCAAACGCTGATAAGAAAATCCCCGCGGCATTGTTAGCGCGGCACAATCGGCCGGCGTCCATTCATTCATCCCGGCGGGTCATTGTGTGTCCCTCAGCATCGTCCAGGTGAAGGAGACCCGGCTGACGTCTCTGGCTGCCAACATCTTCATCGGCGTGTCGTTGCTGCTGCTGCCCGTCCCGCTGCAGTGGATCCCCAAGCCGGTGCTGTACGGCCTCTTCCTCTACATCGCCCTCACCTCCATCGACGGCAACCAGATGTGCGACCGCATGGCCCTCCTCCTCAAGGAGCAGGTGAGGCAGAGTGCGGCGGCGGATAAATAAATGAACGCCCGGGTCCATATGTCGATGGAGGGGAGGTTTTCAGCAGATCAAACGGTTGACTGGATGCCCGGTTTGGAATATTTGCAAATCAGATTTTTTTGTTTTCAGGTGGTTTGAGGTGTACAGGCAGAGCAGCTCATCAATTAACATCATTATTAATATTATTATTATTATTATCAGACACATGGAGTCAGATTGAGATCACATATTGTAACATAAAACCACCAACAGTCTGTTTTTTTCCTCGTGTCTCGTCCTCGGTGTCCGATTTAACCTTCCTCGGCGTCTCTCTAACGGCACACGCTGGCGCCACCACATGGCCGCCAGAGGAAACACCCAGAAAGCCATCACCCACAGACGCCATCAATCTCTGACTGTTGAATTCAGATTTGAGATTTAACACACGTGATGAAGGTTTTTATGCATTAATCGGGAACAAAATGTGATTTAATCCTGACCTGAGTCACAAACACAAGCCAAAGCTGATGCGTTTAAGCCGCAAACACACAAACAACTGCAGTCATTTTGCATTTTTATTGAATCTCGAGGCAGTGGAGCAAAAAGTTAGTGTTGAAATGTCCTTTTGCAGCAATAAGCTCAAATGGATTTGCACAGTTTTTAGATGTTGGTCGGGTTTCTGATGCGAGCAGCTCTGTTGAGGTTGTTCCACAGCTAAAGAAGTGTCTCAAATAGTTCATTAACCTTTTTTTGATTAAATTTTTTTAAGCGCTGGCCTTTAACTTTAGGAAATGAGTCGAGAAAACCTGGAGATAAAATGTGAGCTTCATCTGAGTCACAAATACGAGCAGAAACCAACATGTTGAAACTACAAACACACCAAAAACTACGATAACTTTGCGCATTTGTTGAGTATTCCACAAAAGTCGTTGGCATCCAAATGCAAAAACCTCAAACAGATGCGCTGAATGTTGAACTCAGATCCAACACGGAGGCTTGATGCAGTCACTTGTCTCTGCAGAGGCGATTAACTCTGATCTTTAGTCAGTAAATAAGAGATCTTTATAATGTCTCTTCTCAGTTTTCATGAATCCAAACAGTCGTCCAGCAGCTTCCTTTAAATAAGAATTCAACTGCAGCACTTCGGCTTCTTTCCGGTTCTAACAGGCGACACTGAACAATCCTGTTTTCTCTTCCTGTTCCGTCTAGAACTCGTTTTAAGGTTTTACTTTAAGGTTTTCCAGCTCGCAGCCTCAAATCCTCTCGTTTTTTTGTCCTTCTGGTTCCTCAGCTCTCAGAATCAGTGATTTCTTTATCATTAAACCCCATTTTTATAGATTCTGATGCTGTTTTTTAATTGTTTTTATGACTATTATTATCATATTAGTAATTATTAATGTGGACATTTTATTTTATTTGCACGTTTTGAGGTCTTGCTTCAAGTTAATCTTTATTTAAGCTTAGTTTTATTTAGCTTTAGCATCCACATTCTTGTTTTGTTGTATTCTTGGTGTCCTGCTTTAGCCTCATCTGTCCAAGCACTTAGTTTATAAAACTGCAATATTGATTTTATTGTAAAAAGTAAAAAAGAGGCAGCTACTGAGCAGGACTGGAGATCTCTCAATCTTTAAAATACATTATAAGTACAGGAGAAGTTGTACTAAAGTAGTAAATGGATGCAAATATATGAAGCTGCCACGAAAACAAAAAGAAAACTCAACTCTAAGGAAGCACAAAATAAGGAGACTTAGAACAAAATAGCTATTATTGAGCCATTTTCCTATGAATAAACTGCAATATTTAACATAAACGTAACAGGAAAAGATACAAAATCTAATAAATATTCATGAATATTTATGTTTTTGCATAATTTTCCATCTTAAATTCTCTTCTTTTGTCCTTAAATGTGATTCCTTTTAATCACGAGGCCTCGGTTAAATTAAGATTCGACAAAGAAAATCTTCAGGAAAAGTCACAAATCTCAATTTTCACAAGTTTTATTTCTCACATGAAGCGAGTTCAGTCTGAAGCAGCAGGTCTTCAGGCCTCAGCTGCATGTGGATGATCCTCAGTCTTGTTCTCATACTTTCCAGATAAGCTGCGTTTCTGCAACAGAGATTGTGAAACACTTGTTTGTCTGCAGACGTTGCTGAAGCTTTAAAACACATTTCTGCAGCTTAACAGCGTCTATTATAGGTGCAGGAACATTTATGAAGAATAAAATTATGCATTCAGAGCTGAAATGGAAGCAATAAAACAACTGCGGAGGATTTAGTGGCACAGTGTGCAAACAACGAAGGTGAATTTTAAACGATTACGTAAGTTGTTCTGATAAAACTAAAGATCAGAGACAGAAAACAAACGGCGGTGAGTCACTTTCTTATGACTAAACTCTGCGGTGTTGGACATAAAGGTGCCAGGCGAGGACGGCGGTGTGTTCATGTTTAAGAGCCAGGCTGCATCTCAGTAAAAAAAAAATCAAATAAAGGAGGTTGAAATGTCAAAAATCTGTGCCTGGGTTGTGTTTGAGGAGCAGATTTTCAGGCCTCAGCTGTGGATAATCCCGATTTGCTGAGTCTTGTTTTCATACATTCCAGATAAGCTGCATTTTTTCTTTTTCTTTTTTTTTTTAAACTGAGATTGTGAAACAGTTTCTCTGCCGGTGGCGTCGAGTGATTCCTGATTCACGGTTGGAGACGTTCATACCTGCTTCCACATCAGCTGGAGATGAGTTTGTTACAGAGTCAACATCTTATCTGGTTGAAAGCAGCGTCTCCTGTATCCCTCCTCACACACTCACACCGGAGACCTCTGATACCACAAATACACTCGGTCCACTGAAAGCTAAATGTTATTTACCACCTAAACGTCCACTTGTACGAGGTGTGTGTGGGCCGTCCACCTCCCTGAGTCATTCCTGCCAGGCTGCGGGAGACCCGAGGACGGGGAGGGAGAGCGGCCGCCGGGGGGGAGATTGTGCTTTAATCTGTCTTGATCCTCTCGCCTCCTGCAGACGTCCTACCCGCCCACCCACTACATCCGCAAAGTGCCCCAGAGGAAGATCCACTACTTCACCTTCCTGCAGATGATGCAGCTGCTGGTGTTGTGTACGTTCGGCATGTACCCGGTGCCGTACATGAAGATGATCTTCCCTCTGTTCATGATCCTCCTAATCCCGATCAGGTACGGCTGCGCGGACACTTTGGTCCCAGAAAATGGTTTTTCCTTCGAGTGCTTTAAATCAGGGTGACATTCAGCCGCTAACAAGGCTGACCTGAATCTGCCTCTGCACGGACACACGTTTTAATTACAGGAGCGTCTGTGAAATCACTAAACAGCAGCGTTCTGGTCGGAGTTTTCTGTGTTTTATTTTTGAAAATTGCCAAAACTATACAGACAGAAACTGTAAAAATTGAAGAAAAAAAAGATTTTCCAACAGTTCTTGAACTACTTATCTGAGATACATCATCCATTTAAGAAGATTAACGATTCATTAGTGATTTATCGAAATCACTTTATTCTCATTTGAAAATTCGTTAAAAAATAAACCGTGCAAAGTAACCAGATTCTGTAAAAAAAAAAAAAATCCGCCCCAAATAAAACAAACAAAAAAGTAACAAAGAACCAACCGAAAACAAAAAGCAACTGAAAAAAAATTCAGAGACTGTTTGACTGAACTCAGCTGAACTACAGGTTGTTTACATAGAGATAGAATGTACAAACTCTCTGTAGTTTCTATGATAAAAATGTCAACAGTAAAATATCTGCAGGATGTAGTTTTTTTTTTAAATTTCAGTATGAATGATACCTGGATACGGCTGCACGGACACTTTTGTCCCAGAAAATGTTTTTTCTCGAGTGCTTTAAATCAGGGTGACATTCAGNATTTCAGTATGAATGATACCTGGATACGGCTGCACGGACACTTTTGTCCCAGAAAATGTTTTTTCTCGAGTGCTTTAAATCAGGGTGACATTCAGCCGCTAACGAGGCTGACCTGAATCTGCCTCTGCACGGACACACGGTTTAATTAACGTCTGTGGAATCGCTGAATTTTTTTTGACGTTTTTCCCTAAACTACACGGTTCTAATTGTAATTTTCTCATTTTTGTCTAATATAGGATTTAACCCTCCAAACCCCCAAACAGGAATAAGATGTTATGTTTTAAAAATGGCCAAAATGATACCATTTATCATAAAAAGAAACTGGGAAAACTGAAAAAAAAATATATATAAAAATTCCAACAGTTCTTGAACTACTCATCTATAGTGCATCATCCATCAGCTAAGAAAATCATCCAAATCTAAGATCATGATATTTTATCAAAATCACTTTATTCTGCATGTCTCGTTTAAAAATATGCTAAAAAATAAAGAGTGCAGAGTAAACAGATTCTGTAAAAATATAAAAATTCTGCTCTAATTAACGCAACTAGAAGGTTATCAATGACTCAGTTGTGACTAACAGTCACTTGACAAAAATTCAGAGACTTTTTGGCTGAACTCTGCAAACTGTGTTTAGAGATAATGTGTAAAAACTGACTGTAGCTCCTGAACAGTTCATGCAGCATGTTTGATTAAAACCCCCTAAGTTAGAGCTGAAAATCTACATTTCAGCCACATCGTTGTTGCTTCTGCTTGAATCCATTTTGATGTTGCACAGAGACAATATTATAAAAGTTAATGGATAAATATTTATGGATCATTCCAAATCAAATCCTTACATTTTTTTTTTACAACAAATTCTGCTCGACTTTCTCTGGTTTGATTGAAATTGTCTGAGTATAAAATATGTATATTTATAGATATGAGATAGAGAGATGTGTGATATGGATACGATATGTGGGAGATTTTTAGCTCGATGCATCAAATACTTTCTGATATAAAACATTTAAAAAATTGCCTGTTGGCCCACTTTCAGCACATTATTTTATTTTATTTTTTCTTTTACACATTTTTGTTTTTGTCGGTCATGAAAGTTAATCTAAAACAACTTTTTCCTTTTTGTAATCAAGTGTTTTAAAGTATTTTATGTGTTTGGTTTTGTCTTATTGTGACCTGCAGCCACACGTGGTTCAGAAAATCTCACTAGCTGACGTCTGCATTGTCATTTTTTAGTAACTTTGTGCTCAAAGATGAGACTTTCTGTATTTGAGATCAGAGATGCCCTCTGTGGAGATGATTTGATCTTCTCGTCCACTATTGCAGATTCTGAATCAGTGACACGATGAGAAATAACTGTGAACCTTTCAGGCTTTTATCTTAAACAGTTCTTTAGATGTTGTCGTTCAAACAGCCTCGAATTTCAACGTGTGAAAAAACACATTTAAAGTGGGTTGACGGGTCATTTTTAAAAAATCTCTGAAAGTGTTTGATGTGTGAAGCTAAAATGTGCGAGAGACTTTTCTATATATCTACAGTTTATGATTTAAAAGTTTCAAGCAAATCAGAGAGCCGCTGATGGTCTGAGATGGAATAAACCTTCTGGTGGAGACTTGAGCACCTTTTTGACCTTCATGACCTTCATGAGGCTCGACTGCAGGACTGTCGTGTTGCCCTGCATCAGTTTCATCTCGTTAGATCTCTGCTGCCTTCGTGCAAACTCGTCCGTGCTCTTTTAGTCCACTTGCACCACCGAGAAGGCAGTGATCGATCTCATCTGATAACTTGTTCTTTCTGCTCCAATAAGTAAAAAAAACTGACTCTGCTTCTGTTTTCCAGGAACAACGTGCTTCCTCATATCATTGAGGCCAAATACTTGGACATAATGGATGCCCAACACATGTAGCTACAGACGGACGCTGTGGATCCACAACCACGAAATCACACAACAACAACAACAACAACAACAACAACAAAAAAGGGACGTCTGGAATTTTAAAAAATATATATAAATATAACAAATAAAGGAAAATGAGGATCGACACACGAGGAAAAAAACAACATATTTTTCAATGCAAAACTGTTAACGGAAGCAAAAAGAAGAAACAAAACCGACTGTTTAGATTTTTTTGATAAGGACATTCTTACAGGTGAAGCACTGGAAGACGTGAACCGAGAGGCAGGGGGAAGCGTTGTTTTTTTTGTTGTTTTTTTGTTTGTTTTCCCAAAAAGCAAAAAGTTGGACAAGATTTTAAAAAAACGAGAGCGAGAGAAAGAGAAAACGGGACCGTCCAGAACTCCCTGTTTCACCTCACCCGGTGCCATACGATACCTCCATGTTCACACCTTTTTTTATTTTAATGGCTTTATCCTCACTGCAGTGTCCGTGTGTCTAACCTGTGAGCTTTAAGCACTCACTAATACTGTGTACGTAGCCGCCAGCGTGCATCTCGTAGTACCAGCACAATGTAAGTCCGATCTTTCTCCACACTTTTGCATTGTGTTCGTACATGCGTGTCGATAAATGCTTTCCTCTGCTGCTGGAAACGCTGCAATCTGGCTGCTGTGAAGTTGTTTTTCTTTCCCTGTCATCGTGTTGAAAAATCTCTACATTCCTTTAGCTGTGATCTTTGATTTTTTTATTTCTTACGAAGGACGCCTGTTGCAGTTTAACAGTATTCATGAAAGGAGAGGATACAGGTGTGTGTGAGAAAGAAAGAAAGAGAGAGAGTGTGTGTGTGTGTCCTTCATCTTCCTGCTTTAGAAAACCCCCTCACTTTTAAGGTGGAATTTAAGAACAAAAAAAAGCAAAAAGAAGACATTCCACGAGTATATATATATATTATATGTAATTATTTAGAATGACAGCACAAACCAAAACATATAGTTAAAGAAGTCTTTATCAAATTATGAATATATTTGAATATGTTATGGCAATATAGGAGAAAATAAATCAATATTATAGGTCAAATTGAGATATTTATTTATCATACCGTCTACATTCCAGTGTTTTATTTTTGTTGTTGATTGCATATCAAAAGTCCAACACAGTTCTGGTGCGTTGCTAGTGAAGGCGAAAGGTTTTAAAAGAAATAAAAATACAGATTCAAGAGCTTTGGATTCAACAAAATGCATCTTTTTTTTTTTTTTTAATTTTAAATTTTTATTTGTGAACAAGTGTTCCCGAGACGAGTTTTAGACTAAAACCCCCCCAAGGTCTTGTTTTTTCTATTTAGATGTTATGATTAGATCAGTGCTTGCGAAACGTTATGTCATGTAATAATTCCAGACGTCTGGAGATGATTTATCTTGTTATCTACAGTTCAAAAAAAAAAAATGTTTTAAGAATAAAAAAAAATTAAAAATAAAAAAAAAAAAGGACAAAAAAAAAAAATCTTAAGCACTGGTTTGCTTAAAAAAAAGCATGTCTCATCTGGGTTTTTTGATACGATGTGATGCCAATGGACATGTAACCTACACGAGTTATTTAAAAAATAAAAATAATATAGTAGCAAGTCAAACAGTAACTTTAAAAATGAATGCAACGCTCAATATTCAGCAATACTGTGTATAAAAAGCAGCAACTCCACCGCTGAGGTGTGTTTTTGTTTCCCAGCGAAAAGGTCGAAACCCGAAAAAGCAATGACAAGGCGGAGCTGCGTTTTTTTTTTATTTAAAAAAGGCAGCAACTTTTCAGAAAAACAAAAAAACAAAACAAAGCTGATTCAATTATTTCACACTTTAAAGACACCCTGTCAAAGAGGCATTCTATCAGTTGCTTTCCCAAATATCCAAATGGCAGCTCCCTCATGCAGTTCTGTTCAAACTTTGTCGTACCAGATGTGAGAAAGATGTCCAATTTCCAAGCAGATGTCTCACGCCGAGATAGCAAAAAAAAAAAAAAGAAAGGAAAGAGAGGAGAAAATAAAAGGAAGGCATTTGCATAATCCTCGGACTAAGCCTTAAGACGGACGGCGCTGGTGGGAGACGAAGGAAGAGATTGCGAGGTATGAAGTAATATGTACAGTTTGCAATGCAGAAGTTTAGTTTTTAATCAACCGTTCCATTATTATTAATCCATGGCAAAGGTATTAGTTTCTAACTTTGGACCGAGATTTAAAAGATTCTTCTTCTTATGTGACAGTACCGTTGTTGTTCCTCGATATCTTCGCTGTACCGACGATCTTTGGAATAGCAGCAACTCTTCTCTCAGAGGACTAAATATTGGATTCAGCGTGAAAGACATACTACTCTTGTTTGTGAAACTCCCTTCCTCCTCCTCCTCCTCCTCCTCTTCCTCCCTAATTGGATTTGTTTGAAACTGTGGTGTTTTCTTTTTTTTCTTTTTTCTTTTCTTTTCCTCTTTTCCCTGATTTCATATAGCCTACTTTTTCTAATCATGAATGTATGACGTGTGGGTTTTTATATAGCATAACTAATTTAGGTGTCAAACAGAATCTGTAATTTTGTCAAAAAGATCAGCTATATTTGTAAGCTGTAATATGTAAAAACGAGAAAAAAAATGGTTATCAAACAGAATGTGTTGGTTTACTATAGTATATATATATACTGTACACTGAAAAAGAGAGACTATCTCAAGCTGTTTGCCAAATAAAGAGTAGTAGTGATGTACAGATGAGTGTGTGTGTTTATATGGGTTTTCATGGCATTTAGATCGATGCTTATCCCCTCAACTGCTCATGTAGCGCCACCATCAGGGCAAAATGTTGTCTTAAGTTACACATTTTATCTATAAAGGGTCATAAAAGCTTAAAAAGTTTGATCATGCAACAAAAAAATGTTGTTTATTTACAGTAAACGTACCTGTTTTGGACAACACCAGAGAAATAGTTCACTTTTTGTAATTTACTATTCACTGATAAAACATCCAGATATAAGAAAAACATTTAAGGAAACCATTATATACATACAGGAAGTTTTTTAAATGATTTTTTAAGTGGAATTTTTGCATCAGTTTGCTGTTATTTTACAGGTTTTTCAGATTTTTTGAAATTGCAGATTATATTTATTAAAAGTAATTAATTCACATGTTGCTATCCAGAAGTGTAAATGCTCTCCACATCACTAATTAACATCTTTATGAAGAGTAATTTGTTTTGGGTTTTTTTTTAAACAATGTTAGATCATTAAATTTGTTTCCTGTATTTAAATTTAAAAAAAATATATTTTGCAAATATTGAAAAATTAAAGATTGACAATTTAAATTTTCCAAAAAGAGTAACTGTTATTTTACTGATTTCTTCTGTTATGTTGAATCAAAGATAATACCGGGTAAAAAACACAGAAATAATTTATTAATTTACATTTTGTTTGTTTTCTTAAAACAAGAAAACAAGCCCAAACTGTAAATAACGGCCTCATCAGATCAAAAAGTGATGTTATTTTACAGAAAAATCAAAGTTTGAAAAATGGTATATAACTGTCCAACTGTTGTTTTACAGATTGTTCTGTGTTTTGTTCTAGTGAAGAAAGAAATGAAATGTTAAGCACAAAAACAGCCCAAAACTCTGCATAATTTCCACATGAAAAATGTCTATTTTCATGAACAGTAATTCATTCTTTCACAACTCTTCACCATAAAGTTATGGTTTTTTTGGGGTTTACTGTGTCTTAATCAGCTAAAATATAATCAGTTTACAAATATATGAGCTATTGGGGGGAAAACAAATGTGGTAAACATGGTAATTATATATATATTAATAGTTCTGTGGCTGACTGACCCTTTTGAAGAGATGAGACGCAGTGACGGTGAAAGTTCATCATCTCATTACATAATATCATAAATAACTACCTCATAATAACCAGAGTAAAGCGGCTCTCTGTGTTGCTGATAGAGTTCTGTCCATGTTCAGCCTGATGAGAACTGATCTGACTACAGCATCTTACAGTAAAACAGTGAAACGTGTTTCCATCGTTACTCAGCCACCTGTTGACATACTTTATGAGTTACCTGATTGATTACAGAGGTGATATCTGTATGTAGTGATGGTGAAACATTCATCACACAGTAACGTCGCTGCTGCAGACGTCCTGCTGTGAAATGGAAACATCTGGAATAAACACTTTTACCAAATAGTTTTTAATCAACTACATTATGAAATTTCCCATCAGTATGAACACATGGCTGGAGTGACGGTGAGTCGATATTTTTGATGTTTTAATGGCCTCATGCTTTTCTCTCTGGGACCATCCTCAGGAGGAACTTTAGATGATCATTCTCCTAAAGCAGCGTGCACATCAGCACACAGGTTTTACGTTTTAAAACACATTTTGGTGCATATCAGTAGATATTACAAAGAAAATACTTCCTAAATAGTTATTTACACAAGTAACAAGCAGGTGGACTGTAAAAAGAAAACGGTGAAATACTGCAATGCTGTAAAAAACAAAATAAAGAAGCAAACAGATACAGTTAAACTGTGTTATTTTACAGTCATACAATGGAAAAGTTTATTAAATGCATTATTTGTGAAAGCATAGATTTTTGGTGTGGACATTATGTCCTGTTTACATGTTTTTATTTACAGTCAACATGCAAGTTATTCTTTTTTTTCCTGTGATTTGACTAGATATCATCTGTAACTTAACAAAACAGGGGAAATCAATAAAATAACGCTTTTTGTAATTAATTATTTCTTTTGCACTATTGGTAAAATATGTTTTGTCCGATTTAAACACAACAGGAGGTTTTTCTACGGTTAACATGTCAAATAAATGTCCATCTGTGATTTTACTAGATATTGTCTGAAATTTAACAAAACAGGGGAAATCTGTAAAGTCACAGTAAAAAAAAAAAACACAGCATCATTTTTTAATCTTTATTTTTCAATATTTGTAAAAACAAACAAAAAACCAAACAGATTTAAATACATTTACGGTAAACATATTAATGAAAACTACTTTCTGTCATTTTAAAAGATCTTATCTGCAATTTAAGTAAATTGTTAAAAAAAAATTACAGATAAATCAATAATAACAAGAATAAGAACAAGAATCAGAATCAGAATCAACTTTACTGGCCAAGTTTGTACACGCAAACAAGGAATTTGACTCTGGTGAATCTTAGCTCTCTCTGTAAGAAATAAAGAAATAAACTAGAACAATAATACAAGAGCAAGAACAATAAAAAGCAGCATTTACAAGTTCTTAAACTATGCGTGCAAATATAATTTATTTTGTATAATATATATAATATACATATTATAAATTATACATAATATATAATAGTATAGATAGCAAAATAAAAATATTAATTAATTTAATTTAATTACAGTTTTTGTTTCTTGCGCTGCACATGCGCAGATCGCCGCAGACTTCCCTGTCATATGATCCGTGCACAGGTGATCAACAGTGTGTTTAAACTCAGGCGATCAGCTGAAAAGCAGGATTTAAAGTCAACAGATCAACTTTCCCCTCCAGTCCACCGCTCCCTGCTGCGGGCTGCCCGCGGCTCTGTGTCTCCCTCTGTGTGGGCCGGACTCCGTGCGCCGTGGGCCGGGTCATGAGACTCCAGGGGTGGGTCTCTGGATCTCTCTCCCGGAGTCTGGCGGCTCTCAGCGGCCGCAAACACGTGTGTGGCTTCGGTCGGTGTGCAGCTGAGACCATGGCAGAGGAGGCGAAGAAACTGGCCGCTTACGCCGCCGTGGACAACCACGTCCAGGTGAGGAAGGAAGGAGGGGGGAGGCTCCGAGTCGGTGGTGGCCGACTTTGAACACAGTCTGTCGGTTTGTAGTTTCCCACCAGGTCCGCTTTGAAGCGAGCTAGCCGCACTGAGATGCTAGCGGCGTTAGCTCAGTCTACATCTGTATATGAAGCTAACTTCGCTAGCTTAGCCTGGCTACCCCAACATATTATCTAACTGGCGCGGTTCGGCAGCGGAATTAGCGCAGTGTTATGCAGGCTTGTCCCGAGATAGTGGGCTAACTTTACCCGGTATTAACGACTAAATATACTAACCGTATGTAACCGTTAGCTGCTAGCAAAAAGGCTCAGTGTGGTTTAAAGTGATGCTCAGACAGAAATAAACAAGCTAACGTGTGCTGAGTCAGCATGACACTGATGCTGCAGCACGTTGCATAATAAATACAGTTAATATTTTATGCACCGTTTTTTTTTTACAATTTGCAATGACACACTGTAAATACATATGAAATCAAACAGAATAAAGCTCATGTTGTGCCATTCAGCATTATTTTACCTGCTCTGTGCTCTAAATGACCAGAAATCCAGTTGTTTTCCAGCTGAAGTTATTTTAAAGGACCAGTCCAACCAATGAAATACAGTTTTCCACTTGCAAAAAAATGATTGCAGCCTCTACATTGCAACTGAAATGATACGAATCCTTTAAAATGACTTGATTTTATTCCAGAGGGCACTATTTTAAAGTTTACAGCTCATAGGATTATCACAAAAGAGATATTTACTTTATTTTAAACATAATCTTCATCTATAACTCATGTTAATGAAAGTCTAAAGAAGGATTTCAGACATACCAGTCACATACAGCCTTTAAATGACTGTCGTTTTCCCTCTAATCGTCCTAAATGCCGTGCCCGATTACACTACAAACTGCAAATATTGGTTTAGTGACAATTACTTGGTTGCAAGACATCACCGAAGACAAACATTTCTTATCACCACAGACCCAAAGGTTATGTGTGTTTTACACGTTCCGGCTGCTTGATGCAGAAATAAGCAGCTGTAACGACCTTCTGCTCAGTAATCTTTAAAATGTTTAACTTAGATTTAATCACGTTTCCAGTACCGGCAACGTACACGTCTCTGTTGGGAATAAACACTCAGCGTTTGTTTCTAGGAGCTGTGTTTCTTGTGCAATTCCTCTGAAAGTGGCAGAAGTGAAATGTC